AATGAAATGCTGTTTGCACGGTTTGGACTTACCATAAGTACCCCTCACGACTGCAAACCCTGAAAGGTAGCATCTCATTCAAGGTCTTTCAATTTATGCGGTAGGAGGCTGCTACTAGGAGCAAAGGGCATCGCTACTAGGAGCAAGAACGCTACTAGGGGATCCTGGCCTTTCTACTAGGAACAAGGACACTAAACCACGGGTAGTACCGGGAAAGTGCGCGTCCTTTACACCATTAACAGTTTGCATCCTCAACACGGTGTGCACCATCGTCCTCAAGGCTCCCAGAGTACCATTGGAACGATGGCAGAAACTCCATGGCAGGACGGCCCTTTTGAAGCAAACTCGTTCGTGATTGTCCAAAACAAACCGTTCCTAGTAGCGTCCTTGCTCTTAGTAGCGAGGCCAGGAGCCCCTAGTAGCTTCTTGCTCCTCGTAGCGATGCCCTTTGCTCCTAGTAACTTCTTGTTACTAGAAAAATCTATTGTGGCCTCCACCTAGTAGCTTCTAGAGATTTCTAGAGCATTGTTTGCCGGTGTTGGAAACAAATTTGTCCTGTTTCAAGAAAACAAACACAACAAAATGCAATTGTCATATATTGCCATCACTTTTCGCAACCCCATGTTACGGCGCAATGTTCATGCGTTTGATGCTGAAACGGCGCTCCTGTTTTTGTATTTGTGCACCGCCCCGCCCCCCCTCCAAACCAAGCAAATGGGTTCCACCGCTGTGGTTCATGATGGATAAGACGTGCGAAGGTGTATCCTATTAGCGGTGGCCTCCAACCATCTCCAACCTAGTAGCGTCCTTGCTCCTAGTAGCGATGTCCTTTCTTCCTTAGTAAGGCCAGGAGCCCCTAGTAGCGTCCTTGCTCCTATCAGCGATGGCCTCCAGGTAGTTGGATTTGAAAATCCCGCGAAGTGGTTCAGCTCAGTGGACAAGAAACAATTGAGAGTCCCAGTGTTCATCTCACTGCAGTCTTCTTTGTCGTCTCTCCGAGGCTTCTTAGAGTCTTGAAGTGACCTGGCAAAATGAAGAAGGATTCCGAGTGAGGCCTTTCAAGAACAAACTCAAGGTATCCCCCTGAGGGCTACTTTTCGTGATCTCCGCCTTTCATTTGATCAGGGTATGTGAAAAGGCCCGCCTCTGCAACTGTGTCTAGGTATGCGTTGGACCAATTTTCAATTGTCTCACGGTACCTCATTGCCATTCATTGCCCACAAATCTGGACTTCGGACATCTTCTGACAATTCAGCCATTAGGTTGGAGGCCACTGCTGGTGGGAGCAAGGATGCTACTAGGGGCTCCTGGCATCACTACTGGGAACAAGAAGCTACTAGTAACCTAGTAGCTCCTGGCCTCACTACTAGGAGCAAGGACGCTATTAGCTTGGAGGCCATTGCAGGTAGCTTTAAGCAATTTGTATGGCGTTCTGCTCGTTGGGGCACTTCTCCTCGGTATCCGGGTTGAACCTGAAGTGCCAAACTCCCTCCGCATCGAACATGTTTTGCATGAAAGGCCGGCCAAGCTGAATCTTGAAGCAAGCAAAACTTGGGCTGAGGCTGGGTGGCCGTATGCTGCAGTCTTGGACGCTACTAGGGGCTCCTGGCATCGCTACTAGGAGCAAGGACGCTACTAGGAGCAAAGGGCATTTCTACTAGGAACAAGAAGCTACTAGTAACAAAGGAAAACAAAGAAACTACTTTCCTCAATGTTCCGAGCAAAAAAAACATGTTGGAGGCCATTGCTCTACATTGGAGGCCATCGCTAAACAAAAGCTTGTGCACATTGCTGTGCATTGCTCAGGATGAAAAGGGTTCTTGAAACCAGTTTCCCACCTTGTAGTTCATTGGCTCTTGTGCCTGCTCTGCCTGTGATGCCACCTGCTCAGCAAATCGGGAATCCAGCTGAGTTTGACTTGCTCCACGTTCATACGCAGCCATTTTCCAAGTCCCTTGCAAACAGGCATCGGCGGGCCATCTTAAGACTGATGTGCCGACTTCTATGACTCTGACAGTCTGACCCAGTTGCTTGTTGAACTTGTAGGTTTTGGGTTTCAATCTGAAGCTGCAGCATTCTTGACAGGAAACTCCACAAGTCCTTACATGACTCATAATGGGGAGGTACCAAAGTCTCAGAATCAAGCAGCCAACTCCCGTGTTGGGAAAAGCACGATGCCTCAGCCTCGTGGGCTTTGAGCCCGAAGCCAGAAGCACTGCTTCCAACCTAGTAGCGATGGCCTCCAACCTAATAGTGGCTTAATAGCGATCGCCTCCAGGCCATTAGTGTTTGTTATGATCTGTGTGCGCGTGAGTACGGCTGGTTTATGTCCACGTTACAACCCTCAGGCCATTGCCGTTTGGTATTGCGACAGCCTGTATTCGGTTGGCATATGTCCACGCGCCAACCTTCAGGCCATTAGTGCTTGTTATGATCTGTATACTTGAGGCCGAGGGTAGGTGACGAAAGCTAGCAGGGGTGCATCCGGACTGGTGGGACATCAAGCGGAGTGAGGCAAATGCTCATGAGGTAAAACGTTGTGAACATGTAAGACACACAAACAGCAATGACACAGCCAACCTTAGAATTGAAGTCCCCGATAATTAAGGAAGCGTGGCTGGACTTTGCCACACTGTTCGATGCATCCGATGTGTTCACGAACCTGTGAGCTTGTTGAATCTGTTGCACTGTATCCCAAAACCTCCACGGAGGAGTTGAACCAGTGTGGATGCCATAAGAGGTGCCCAAGAGGTGTCCCAGAGGCAAAACAAAGCTGCTTGCATGATTTGTTTGGTTTCTTCTATCGATGTCGATGTCATGAACATGTGAGCTTGTTGAATCTGCTGTTGGATCGTCATGTATATGTAATGAGGGACTGAAGAAAAGCAACGCAGCATCATGAGCATCACGGGAAGTCACAAACCAGGCGTATCAGATACACCTGGTTTATGTATGTTTGTTTGAGCATCTTTGTCGAGTGAAGTGTCAGCCATATGCACTGAGATGCCGAAGGAAGCTCAAAGGCACGTGTATCTGATACGCCTGGTTTCTGACTTCCCGTGATGCTCATCATTGAAGCCTTGAACCCTCGCGTAAATTTCGTGTTTCATGCCCCCCTTCCAAACTCAAACAGTGGCCTACTTCACCTGCCACCTAAACATAGCACTATAGCACGTTCCGGAAGCGTCCCAGGGGGAGTTGAACCCGCGGGGGGGGGGCCCCGCTACACGTGAAGTTTTCACGTGATTCATGATTCTCGAGGCTGCGAGCCCTTGACTTGCTAAAGCAAGAGCAACTCCAGCTAGCTGATGCTAGCTTTCGTGACATGTGTACGGCTGGTATATGTCCACGTTACAACCCTCAGACTATTGCCGTTTGGTATTGCGACTGCCTGTATTCGGTTGGTATGCATCCACGCGCCAACCTTCAGGCCATTAGTGTTTGTTACGATCTGTATACGTGTGAACGGCTGGTATATGTCCACGTTACAACCCTCAGGCCATTGCCATTTGGTATTGTGACTATCTGTATTCGGTTGGAATATGTCCACGCGCCAACCTTCAGGCCATCAGTGTTTGTTATGATCTGTATACATGTGTACGGCTGGTATATGTCCACGTTACAACCCTCAGGCCATTGCCGCTTGGTATTGTGACTGCGTGTAGTATTCGGTTCATATGTGTCCACGCGCCAACCTTCGGGCCATTAGTGTCTGCTATGATCTGTATACGCTGGGTATGTCCACGTTACAACCCTCAGGCCATTGTCGTTTGGTATTGTGACTGCCTGTGTTCGGTATATGTCCACGTGCCAACCTTCAGGCCATTAGTGCTTGTTATGATCTGTATACCTGTTTACGGCTGGTATATGTCCACGTTACAACCCTGAGGCCGGTGCCTTTTGGTATTGTGACTGTCTGTATTCGGTTGGAATATGTCCACGCGCCAACCTTCAGGCCATTGGTGTTTGTTACGATCTGTATACGTGTGAACGGCTGGTATATGTCCACACTACAACCCCCAGGCCATTGCCGTTTGGTATTGCGACTGCCTGTATTCGGTTGGTATATGTCCACGTGCCAACCTTCACTTGCTGTTGTATAGCACTTGTGCGCTTGTGTTTTTGTTGTTCTTGGTTGTTTGCGTTGTTGTTTTTGTTGTTGTTGGTGGTGATGGTGCTGTTGCTGCTGCTGTTTGTGGTTGTATTTTTGTTGTTGTGGTTGTGGTTGTGTTTTTGTTGTTGTGGTTGTTGTTGTCGTTGTTGTCTCATTGTTGTTGTCGTCGTCGCCGTCGTCGTGGTGGTTGTCGTTGTTGTCGTCGTTGTGGTTGTGGTTGTGGTTGTGGTTGTGGTTGTGGTTGTGGTTGTTGTTGTTGTTGAGCTTTTCCTAGCCAAGAGCCCTTGGGATGGCTCTGCGTTTTCGGCCCCGTGGCTCTCGTGGATGGGCCGCGCTGATCTAGCGCCTTCCTGCAGACGCTGCCGCCCGGTTGCGCTGCTTTGGATGCAGCGGATCTGGTTTTGGACCTGGCCGTGGATCTGGCTTTCCATTGGAGACCTTGGCCTTTTTGAACGCGGCTGGTCCTTTCGAACAAACGCTAGCCTTTTTGTACCCCATATCTTAGCTAGGTCGTGGTCCCAATTCCACGGCAAGTGTGTGTACACGCCGAGTAACCTTCACCACAATGCACACTTGAAAAGCGAGGGTTGTGACACTACCATGGGTGTCACGGGAGTAGCACCGGTACACGTTGCACGCTCCGTTCATGACAGCGCTACGAAAGAACATGGAACCACACCCAATAGGCGAGATTTCCCTCAAATCTCAAACCACAAGCGTAGTTTCAAACGTGCGGTTCGACGGGCTAGCCAAGATGGCTATGCCTGGTTTCGCGGTAAGCTGTTCGATGCAAAGGCACTAGGAGTGACGGTCTTGCCACGGTCTGTCCGTGTCCCAGCCATTCTTCCCTGTTCATCCCATCAACCACGCCGTGACTTGAGGAACCGGATCCACCTTTTCTCATGGAATTGCAGTGGCCTGGGACGAACTCAGCTGGAGGAGTTGCTGCTTTGGGCAAGATCACAACCCTTTCAGATTCTCGCATTGCAAGAGATTCGTTGGCAAGGAGTGAAAGAGTGGATGGATGAATCCTGGTACTTTGTGGCCATAGGTGGTACACCCCGTAAGGCTACGGGGGTACTTGTTGCGATTCGAAGAACTCTTTGCCATATTCATCAACTAGCTTGGCATAGTGTCTGGGATGGACGCATTCTGCATGTACGGATTCACTTGGCGAGACCTCTTGATCTGTTGATTGTTTATCAAAAAACTTTTCAAGCCTCTCCACCAGATCTCAAGATTCGAGCCGATGTGTTCATGCACTTGATACATGCCTCACTTCCCTGCCCACTCGTAACAACCTCCTCATTGCCGGTGACTTTAATACTAGCCTTCACAAAGATCTCCCACATGTTGGATACTCCACCTTTGTTAGTACTCAGGGTCTGTCCACTCAGGGTTCTCTCCAGTCAGATCAGCCTTTGCTTCAATCCCTTCTGAAGCAACATGGGTTATGTGCCATTAACACGATGCAGCCGGGCTTGCCTGCCACATTCGTGGGATGTAAAGGTCAGGGATCCCGCATCGACTATGTCCTCACTCGTCTCAAGCAGACGGATCATGAGGCCAGACAATGTGCACCCATCCCAAGCTGTCCCCTAGTGGGACTCACTCCTCAGGGGCATTGTCCCCTTGGTGTGCTCGGTCTCCTTGACTTGGAAACCGTGGACAGGTTCAGCCCTCAGTACGATCAGCTTTGACCACCGGAATCGTGGGCGCCTTGAAAGGTCACGACACACTGACCGTTGGCATGAATTTGTTTCGAACCACTCATCACCTTCAACAGGCCAATTGGCCCAGTCATGGAGATTTTCAACATATTCACCGTGCTTGGACTGTTGACCTGCAGAACTCCTTTTCGGAGCCGCCGCCATGAGCGCGCGGTCGGTGTATACAACGATATATATATATGTAAATATATATACACATATATATCAAAGGCTGAAAAAAAATAGGGGGGGGGGAACTTCCTGTACCTCAGCCGATCGAAAAATATTCAAAATATATATACGTGTTGCAGAAAATTATAGCCTAAGTATCAAGAAACAACGAAAAGTGCATACAGTCCACGCTGAAAACATACACAGATTTGCTCGTTTTGTACATAAACATACATTTTCCCAAAAGTTTGATTTTGGAAAGTGTTTTAGCTATCTGGAAGTTATCTCGAAGTTATTTTCATTGTTTTTTAAAAAAATAACTTCAAAATAATTTATACAAGTGCAAGTTAACTTCAATAGAGCCCGGGTCTCACCTTGTAACGGTGCAAACCGATATGCGACTTGAACTGCTTGTGCTTTCGCTCCATCGCAAAACAGTCGACGTAAAATCCGGTTTGTTTCAACTGCTCAGCCGCGTGAAACCGTTGGTGATGTTTCGGTTTCACAAAGCTCTCAGAATAAACTTCTACAATCAAAGACTGATGTGCGACTTGTAGTTCTTGTAGTCGCTCAGTAGCAAGAGGTGCAGAACTCGTAGCAATGCTCCGTAACTCAATGCTGATGCGTCGCAACGCATTGAAACTTTCCATTTCCTTCACAAGCAACCCTCTGGAGTCAAGAACTCTTGACAAGAAGTAGTGAAACAGTGGGAAAAACAGTGTTAAGTTCGAAGCGGACCCTTTGTACACGGCACCCTCAAAGTTAAAGGCGCCACCAAGCCGCTTTCGAAAAGATGGCGAGCAACCTTGCACGGAAGTGCGCCACTCCAAGGACAAGAACTGCTCTAGATCGCCAATTCCGGTCTCACTCCATTTGGCGTGAAGCGCGTTCACTTCCCAAGAAATGATCCCGCAACTCCAATACAAATGCATAAAGTCGAGAAGAAAGGCGCTCGGTGGCAGAGCATCACGCGCCAAAGGGTCGCTCAACAAACTCTCAGGATCCCGCTTGCGGCTCCATGGGGGTGACAGGCGGCTGCGCGTCAGCACCCTCTACAACCATGGAGTCTGTGTAGCGAAGAGTCTCGTCGTGACTGTCGTGGATCAAGTGGGTCTCCACAATGGGAATGGTAGGAACTGACTGGTCGGCCATGCTAAGCAGTTTAACTCCACAGGGATGTCAGGCTTTGGGCTTTTGGGCTCTGATCTTCTACAGCAGACGTTCCACCACTTGTTGATGGCACATGTTCAAGAATTGAATCGTGAATATGTTCAAGCAGTGGCTCTTGAAAAACCACATCAATCATCTCATGTTCCGTGCGATCCATGGGACCGCATTTTGAACTGTGACGGAACCCATGAATCATGTTCTGTGCACATGCGATCCATGGGACCGCATGTTTGACATGTGACCGAACCAATGTGTAAGGAGTGTGTAATTATGTGTAAGTATGTGTAAGTAAAAACAACCATCGACTTACACATGTGTAAGTCAAACCCGAAACCGACTTACACATGTGTAAGTCAAACCAGAAACCCACTTACACATGTGTAAGTCGATGTGTGTTTTACTTATACATACTTACACATAATTACACATTCTCTACACATGTGACATGTGACTCCTGTATGAACGATGTTTGCCGCCCAAAACTTTTCTCTTTCTCTCACTCTTGGCTGCGCATGGCCAATGTCTGCCCACAAAAACATCTCACTTCTTGCCCTTGTTGCCCTTCTTGCCCATCTTCGGCTCTGTTGGTGGCTGCTTCTTGGCCATCTTCGGCTCTTCTGGCAGCTGCTCCTTCTCATCCTTCACGGGCACGGGGTCTTTTGTTGCATCCACCTTCATGGGCATGGGGTCGTGTGTTGCGTCCTCATTCTCGGGCACTGGATCATCAAAGGCGCCGGCTTTCCGCATGCAGATCCAGGCAGCATACCACTCATCACTGTAGGAGCTTGAGTCTGCGCTTTTCAGAACAGATCCATCACTCCGAATCACGAAGCCAGTTGGAGGAGCTTCAGTGCAAGGAGGGCGACTGTGAGAAAACTGGCTGATCGACATGGCCCAAAGCGCAAAGTGTCACAAGATGAGCTGTCAGTTCCTAATCTTAAAATGAACCAAAATTCGCTCAGGCTTCAAGCTTACATGAGCCCTCAAATTTGTTTCGCCATCCTATCCAGTCATCATCGTTTGTGTTCTTCTAAATATATTCATATATGTTTACATGGCGGCTCATTGAGCCGCCTGACTGCAGTCTTTTACCGCATCATTATATGAGTTCAATATAGTAAACCAAAAAACTATTTTTGTGTGAGTGTTCATGTTTGGAAGGCAAACATGTTGGAACTGATGAGGCGGCCCATTGG